CCCCCCCTTTTGTTTCCCCCACCTTTTCGGATTTCCTCTTCAGGGTCGAGAAATCTACATCATCATTACTGTGTTTCAAACGAGACCATAGTTTCAACCAATACCAATAGCACGTCGCCTCAGAACTATATTTGTCTCTAAAGTGTACTACAGGCATGATGCGGGGGAAATTTGGAAGTTCGTTAAGAAGAAGAAACTAAGCTTACAAATTAATGTGGTGGCATCAATGTAAATAGAGCGGAAGTTTTGCTGTCCCCGCGGAAATTTGCACATTGCAACCTTAAAATTTGCCAAAATTTACCCCCAGAATGCCAACACTTGCCCCCCAAATTGCCAAATTAGCAAAAGTTTGCCCAGAAATTTACATTCAGAATCCATATAGACAATTGCTGCTTACGTGATGAAACAGACGTACTGAAAAAGATTGGCATTTTGGGGGTTATTTGAAAAATCGTAAGCTCTTTTATTAAAAGAATATTTAAAAAAACATCACAATGGAACTGAAACCAAGGCTGGTGAACTGATACATCATTCCGAGCGGGCCTTATGCCTCGGAAACTTAAACAATGTACAGAAATTAATGAGGAAACAAGATTGAGGCTCTGGAAATGTGGGTCTTTCGTAGCATTAATAGGATTAGAATACAGATCTGGACTGCGAATGAAGTTCAGAACGAAGGGAAACAAATCTGGCAGACTTGCATGGGCCTGGAGTGAAATTTGAAGTCGACAACGGCTCAAAAGAAGGAAAGTATTCGGGGGGGGGGGGGTAAAATTTGCGATAATTTGCGGCAATTTGCGTCAAGTTGTCTCTTTCGCTCTTTATGACCCCATTTTGATAGGTGTTTCTCGTCCGTCAAGGCATATCTTAGTTTGTTAGCGGTTCTCCAGGGTTGGTGTCTGTGGTCATATCGTCCAACAGGAATGTACAAGGCTTTCATCTTTGAAAATTGTCCTGAAGGACCACAGTGAAATGCCAAGCCAGCTGTTGCTGTTTCGATAGACAGAGAGAGAGAGAGAGAGAGAGAGAGAGAGAGAGAGAGAGAGAGAGAGAGAGAGAGAGAGAGAGAGAGAGAGAGGGAGGGAGCGAAAGATACAGACGGACAGACAGAGATAGAGAGAGAGACAGAGATAGATAGATAGATAGATAGAGAGAGAGAGAGAGAGAGAGAGAGAGCTGTTGCTGTTTCGATAGACAGATAGAGAGAGAGAGGGGGGAGAGGGGGGGGCTGAGGCCGTTTCGGTAGACCACAATGATGGGAATCGACTCTTGGTGTGGCGCGTAACCAAGGGAGTTGGAGCACCCGTTAGCATTTTGTATCTGCATGGACGCACATCCTTTCAAAAATTCTGGATGGGTCAGCTTTTCCATAATTGTCCACAGAAATTTTACCACATCTTATCTTATGCTTGGCTGCTATTCTTTCGCTTGGTGAAAGTGGCACCAGGAATAGATGCGAGTGGGGTAGAGATCGTGTTGAGGGTTGCAAGTGCTGTTCTTGTAAACAATTCCACCATAGACATCACTCCGCATTTACTTATTTTAGTAAGACTTTACGGCACTCGACACTGTTTAAGGTCACATGAGCGCCAAGGGGCGGATGTCAACAGAGAGGTCCAAACGGGGAATCAGGCTTACTCTGCTCACTTCTCTAGCCTCAAGAGCACAAAGTCTGCATCGACTATCAAGGCACCCCGGAAATAGCGGGTCACAAGAGAGTGACAAACACACAACAAAGGCAGTAGAGGAAAAATGACGATAGTAAAGATTAGGAGAGAAATAGTAGCAGTTTCCCGTATGCAGTTCAGGCACAGTTATGAGCCTGACTTTGATGAACCAGCCCATTTACAATTCTTCTGAGCATAAGAACATATTACAGCCCCCCCCCCCTTTTTTTTGGGGGGGGGGGGAATGACCTAAAGACACTTCTGTCAGTGGCACCACCCCCCTAGGTTTCTATTTTCGTTTAGATGTGTGGGATAAGCGTTGGTAATTGTTCCAATGTTCAGCTTCGTGAGTTTTCTGTTCAGGTTTTCGTTGTTGGTGTTTTGGGAGCTCCCTAAAGCGTTGATCATACTTTTGCTAATGCGAGTGTTTTTGAACGTGTTTTGCGACTGACAGGGACAAAAGAGCTCCATTTGGGAAAGTAGATAAAGAACAAATGTACTTGAATCCGTTTGTTAACCAAAGATAGTACAAAACAAGATGGTTCATTCAGTCAAAAAAGTGTCTGCGTAAGTCCGCTCATTGCTTCAGATGGCGCTGCAGTCTTTGTTTTGAAGATCTTTTTAATTTTTCCAGAAGAAGAATAGGAATAGCACCCATTTGAGTGCGCAGTTCAATGGTGTTCATCAGCTATTCGGGTTCGTTCAATGTGGAGTTTTAGGGTTTAAAAAAATATTTCAATGACCTCTCGCCTCTCATTCTAAAATCAAATTAAACGAAGAAAACAGTCGCTTCTTCCACTGGAAGAGGTTTTTTGTCAGCGTAACCATTTTTTTAAAAGGCGTTCTTCCGAAATTCAAATTCTAATTTATTCAAAAACGTGTTAGTTTCACTTTGATTTTTTCCACTCAAGTAGGGTGACTCTGTTCGCAAAGAAGAGTGCGCTTTTTCGAGAGGGCGCCACCAGATTTTGAGGACGCTCTTTTAATTGGCTCAAAGAGAGGAGTGAACTATCTTGTTTTGTACTATCTTTGCGTTAACTGCCCAATTTCGACCAGAGACTAAAAAATGACGTCATTTGACCTTGGCCCCTCCCGGCACCATGAGGCACTGTGGACAAAGTCAATAGTACTGAGGCGACGTGGTTACTTTCTAGTCCTACACTGGAGGTTCAAAGCCGCCCCTATGTCTGCATTATGCGCACGACATTATGTGAAGCAGCATTTGTGTTTGCTTTGATTAGTTTTGTTTCTCTCCGACATGTACAGACCCTGAAATCCGGTAAATCTGCTCACAGAATCACGAAAAGAAGAGTTGTTGTTTTCGGGATGGGGTTGTTATTTTTTTTTTGGGGGGGGGAGAGTTTAATTTGGAAACATCACTTTCTGCCCCCACCCCCTACCTCCTTTACCCGTTCCTTTTTGCAGCCTTTCTACTGCTACTCCTTGGCTCCTTCTTACTGCTGTCTTTCAGCCACACCCCTGATATCAATCATGGTAGTTAAGATCTACACCTAGCCTTCTCGGATATGGGCGAAAAATCTCGGAGGTCCCTTGTGCAAGTTGTTCACGTTAATTATCCCATGGGGATCCGATAATCCCGAGAGCTCATATGACCTTAATATGCAGTTGCAAGCGCCTTAAACACACACACACACACACACACACACACACACACACACACACCCACACACACACAAAAGACAAAATGAGTTTACAATATCAAGACAAAACTCTGAGAAATGAAAACCAACTGTTTTATTCTAAAAGTAAGAAAAATCATAAGGTGCTTTATTTGGCTAAAAATAAAAATTCAGTCCTCAAAGGTGGACGACGTCCTTTGTGGATTATTGCCTCTTCTATATTTGTATTCGTCCATGGGTCCAAAAAATTTCAAACACAGAATCAAAATTAGAAATGAAATAAAGCAAGAGAAAGAGTGAGTTTATAGTTCATCTACAAGCATCCTATGTAAGAGGAAAGTAACAAAGAGCACACTGCCGTTGGTTCTTCATCCATTTCTCCTTCTTTGTCGATCAGACTCAATTCACAGCGACTGTTTGCTTTCTGTTAAGATCTCCGCCTACTCCTGGAAAGAGCATTGGAATGGCCATTATTATGATGTTCAAATTATGGTTTCCGTTAATTCCGTCAAAAAAGTGCTCGCTCGCTCACTCACTCACTCCCTCCAGCACTCACTCACTCACTCACCACTCACTCACTCACTCACTCACTGAATCACTCACTCACTCACTCATTCACTCACTCATCAAACAGTTACCACAGTAATGAAAATGAATACCCGTAGATCTACGGTAGGTCTAGCGCCCAGTGTCTACTTTTCATTCAGTCATATTCCTGTGACAAGTCCCGAGATTTACCTTAAAATTACCGGTACAAAGTTCTACCTGCTCAGTAGGCCCTACCTAATTTAGAGAAATTTGACGTAATTTTAGAGTATTTTTAAATTACCAGCAAAAATAAACCAGGTTACGTGCTAGCATTACTTTGGCATAAACAACATCCCCGTCATAATTCCAAAGCCACAATAATGCCACCAAGTGACTTAATTCGGATTAATTGTGTTGGAAAAATGGCTTGCAATGACTCCTCCACAAAATTATAACCAAACCAAAGAAAGCCCCCCCCAAAAACCAAAACTAAAAACAAAACAAAAACCAACCCCACATTTTTGAATCTCTTAATTCGTATTTCTCCAAAGGCCATAGGTTTGTGTCTATTTAGCTTATTGAGAAAAATCATTTCGATAGACAATTATAACAATGGGTATTACATCCCTTTTGTATTTCAATTTCGTGTATTAAAACAGTTGCAAATAATCATTTCGATTGCCCATTATAAAACGGAATATTATTTAAAATTTCATTTCACTTCTTTGTATTAAAACGGTCACAAATAATCAATATAATTAAACATTTTAAAGTTGAAAATTAAATTTATTTTGTATTTCCATATTTTGTATCAAAATGCCGGCAAATAACCTGTTCAAATAACCATGATAGAATGGGATAGGATATTAAAATCAATTTTGTATGGCCCTTTTTTTGCTTTAAAACGGTTGCAAAATATCATTTCGATTAACCATTACAAAATTGATTTTTGAATCTAATTTGTATTTCCTTTTCTCTGTATGAAAACGGTTGCAAACAATCATTTTGATTAACCAATGTTATCAAATTAAATATTACGTTTCTTTTGCAATTCACTTCCTTGTATTAGAACAGTTGCAAACAATCAATTCAATTTACAATTATGAAATTGAGTATTAAATCTCTTTTGCATTTAACTTCTTTGTATTAAAACAGCTTCAGGCTT